TCTCCCAAGAGTCCTGCCCTCAGGTACGCAGGCACGCGGGCAGGCTGGGCCTGATCCATGACGCAAGCCACAATTCACCAAACTGGTCAAGAGTTAGCCACTGATGAACACGAGTAAGGATGAGCTAGACAATCAAAAGAGCAATCACGGGTCAGGTTCTGGCTCCTTTGCTTCCATCTATTCGCCAATGGGCAACGACCCCCTTAGGCTTCTCCTCCACCCTTCGCTCGCCCCTTCCCCCTCCCCCCCCCCTCTCCCCTGGGCCCCCTCATCGTTCCTGACCGCTGACCGCCTTGCTGCTGCCGTCGCCTCCCACCTGTTTTGGGTGCTCCTGCCATTCGTCCTCCCCGCCAACCCCAACTGTCAAATGCTACCTGCGCCCGCACCTGCACCTGCCCTTGCCTTCTTTCTACTGATTTGCGACCGCAAGAAGAACAGCTGATCTGACTTTGCTCTGCCCTGCCTGCTCCGCCTCACGCCGCTGAGTCTCGTTCGCAATACGTCGCAACATCTTGGCTTCGACACGCCGCATCTTGCTTCCGACCGAACACCTTCGCTCTCTCCTCTCCCAGGCATCCTCTTCACACTCGCCGACGAGCGCATCTCCACCCGAGTAACCGACACGAACCGACTGGACCAATCTCAAGGACCGCTCCTGCTTGGCTGTGACACATTGTTGGACGGCCGTCTGCTTCTCGCTCACCCCTGGGCTCTTTCATTTGAACGGCATCATATACTCCCATTACAAGACGCCGCCCAGCTTTCGCACTCTCAGCCTACGCCTGTGGCACCTCACCATCGCTTCGGAACATCGTCATCACAAACTTCTTGTCTTTCTTCCCTCTGGTCTTCGCGAACACCACAATTCGTCCGATTCACCTTGGGAGCAACTTGTACTTGGCCTACAGCAAAATACAGAAAAAGCCAGCGCAGACAACATTTGATATCGATTCAGAATCGTTCTGTTGTCCCGGTGCTGCAGCGTGTCTCACTGTCTTGCGACGTTGCACTTCGACGCTCGAAATATTGGTTTCCGTGATACCCGGTAGCCTTCCTGGCCTCCCCAACTGCGCTTCGTGCGAATAGAGACGGGACAAACGGATCTGCTTAGCATCATCAGCCCAGACAGATACTGCGCGCCGTCGACCTCGCGAACGAGACGACCTTTGTCTTGGCGCCCGCCTTCTGCTTGGATTCCACAACTCCCAACGCCTGGTTCATCCCGAGTCGGAGCCACCCGACCCCCGACAGACCGAACGGTAGACCGAACAACCCGAATTATCAGTCATTGCTATTCAGCAAAACCTCCGACGGCTCCCACAGCAATCCACCGTTGTTCCTCACTGCCGGGGTCGACGCAGCCATTTTTGAGTTGTCTCCCTTCCGACAAGTGCCTACCTGCCGCCCGTGTTTCCAGCCTGCCCGCCGTACGCACGTCGCACACTTGCCGCCCACTCGACACATTCCATCCCAAGCGCCTTGGCTTTTTTTGATCCCCAAGGTACATCAGCGGAGCTTTCGCCGCGAGACTGCCGCGTCACAGAGGGTAGACCACTCAAGGTTGCCGGAAGAGACCTCGAGAGAAGAGCGCCCTAGGCACATCTCCAGCGTCCCATTGATCTCCCGTCTATCGTCATAAGCTCACGAACCTCCACTTTTCCACCTGACAAGCTATACGGCCTCGAAGGAATACCACGGATTCTTCCTCGCCATGTCGTCTCTACCCACATTCTCAACCCAGCCAGGTAAGCCAAGCCGAATGCGTGAATGCACGCGCTGGAAACCTTCTGCCCCTTTTTTTTTTTACCTTTGGACGGCTTTTGTTTCCCTGTTTCCCTGCATTACCCATTTTTCCCCTGTCGCTCGCTCCTGACCCGGCCCTTTGACGCGTTGACTCCCTTGCGCCGGTGCACCACTACTGGGCTGTCAACCCGCCGACAGCCTATGGGGTGCGCAACAGCATTCCTTTCCCACCCCCCCTTGTCCCCCCTCCCCC